ATGCTTATCTGTAGTGGTGGTTTTCTCCAAAATGGAAAGAAGATATTAGCGGGTCAGTTGCTCCAATGGAGATTGAAATCCTGCTGAGGAATGCTGTTTTTCTCCTGACATGGAGATTATAGCATTAGGATGGTTAGCTTGTCCAGGATAACGAATATCTGTATAAAGTGCAGTAGGTTCAGGAGATAATAACTCTACCTCGGCTCTTCTGTTTGCTGCATAAGCAGGCCTTTACTGAACAGCTGTTTTGATTTGTTTCCTGGTTGTGCTTCAATCCAAAGAGAGATCCTATGTGGCTGGATCCAATGGTATATAAATGTTAATGTAAACTGAAAACTGGTAAAGGAAATAATTTCTCCAACTCCGAAACTCTGTGATATCTCCAATCAAGTCCTCTGGTTGTTTGTTAGATGTGAAGGAGTCAGGGCGACTTCGGCCATAGCAGTCACACACAAAACACCTAGCCCACGCCTATGACGCGTTTCACCCCCCATTGGGGCTTCGTCAGAAGGGCGTTGTTAGGCAAGGGCTTGAATCCTCCTATTTAAGTGTTTGACTTTAATTGAAGACAGGTGAAAATAAAAAAAAAAAAAACGAACAAAAAACCTAATTTTCCTGTGTGTGTCCCCACAGGACACAATTTCATAGACAGGAAGTGTGGTCAGTATCATAAGTAGTTAAAAAAATGCCGAAAAAGTGTTATTTCAACAAAAATTGTTAAACAACACGGAAAAAGGATTATAACATTTACGTATGTATATATTTATATAAATTTGCCAAACAAAACATATAAATACGAAATCTGAGATATTAAATATTTCCACTCCGGGCCATATTGTAACCGCTGTAAAAGAATCGATGCCTTTTAACTGGCATAGCCAAAAAATGCGATATTTGGGTATACAATTAACAGCTAGAACCACTGAATTATTCAGCGCAAACTATATGCCTTTGTTAAATAGTATAAATAGGGACCTCAACAAATGGCACAATTACCGAGTAGGCATTTCCCTTACGGGACGGATAAATGTCATTAAGATGATAATACTCCCACAGATATTGTATATACTGCAAACTGTACCAATTGCACTACTAAACTTTTATCTACGCGCACTTAAGTCGGTTGTCAGTCGGTACATTTGGAGACGGTCTCCCGTCAGGATTTCCTATGGAGTCCTTATTAGGACCCGAGAGCAGGGAGGGTTAGTAGACATGTGCGATTCATTTCGTTCCGAATCGAAATTCGGACGAATTTTTGGAAATTCGGACATTCGGATGTATCCGAATTCCGAATTACAGACCTAACGAATGCAAATGAATCCGAATTTCCATTTCCGAAATTCGGTAGCGGTAGTTCAAACGTTCGTTTCGTATTCTGTTCTTATTCGTTTCTTATTCGTTTCGTTCGTTCGTTGGAGCAAAGTGACATTAGAGAAGGAGAAAAATATTTTTTCCCCCTCAAATGTCACTTTGCTGCAAACGAACGAACAAAACGAATAAGAAACGAATAAGAACAGAAAACGAAACGAAACGTTCGAACTACCGCTACCGAATTTCGTCCGAATCAGAATTCCGAATCCGAATTGACTTTCACACCCGAATCCCGAAAAACGAAATAACACAAATCCAAATTTAAAACGAAACGAAACTAAACGAATTTTTTGGCAGTGCACATGTCTAAGGGTTAGCATTGCCAGGCTTCAATTGTTACTACCAGGCTGTTGCACTTAACAGGATGTTGGATACTCACTTTTGCACTAAGATTAAACGATGGGTAGAGGTGGAAAATACCTTAGCCGACCAAGATATACCCACTATCTGTTGGAAACCACAGGAACACTGGAACTTACACTCTCTCACATCTCCCCTCACCCGCCAAACTATGGCTATTTGGAATTCACTATATACCCGATTGATAGGTCAATACAATTCACCAATAATGTCAGTAACTGGCAATTTGTACTTCCCACCGGGACTTCACAACACGGGTTTCCTTAAATGGACGACACACGATACTTTAAAGCTTTATCAAATATGCGATGGAGACAGACCACTTTCGTTAGAATCTCTTAGAGAACAATGGGGGACTTACCCATTTGACACGTGGAGACATAGGCAACTATCACATTTCTTTTCATCACTACCAAAGCCTTTTCGCACTACCTCGCAGCTTACACTTTTGTAAAAATTATTTTTTGCATCAGAATCACCACGTCATGGAATATCTCAAATATATAAGATTTTATTAAAATATCAACTTAGTCCTTACCCATTATATCTAAATCAATGGGAACAGGACATTGAGACTACCTGGACGGATGCGCAGAAACAACAATTGTTAAGTCTCAATGCTATCACATCAATTAGCACTCAAGTGACCGACACTACTTTACGTTTTATGGCATGGTGGTATTATACACCAGAACGCATACATAAAATGTACCCATCTAAGACGGAATTATGCTGGAGAAATTGTGGCCATAAGGGTACTTACATACATATGTGGTGGTCTTGTCCCGAAATACAATCTTACTGGACCCAGGTAAAAGCTCAAATAGAGAAGATTACCAAGGCCACATTACCTCTAGACCCAATGGTCTGCCTTTTCCACCTTACGGACCTGCCGATGAGGGCCTATAAAAGATCATTGGTAGTACCACTACTGAATGCCATGAAGACCTTAATCCCACGTCATTGGAACCAAACTAATACTCCAACTATAAGTGAATGGCACAGTAGAGTAGAATATTACAGACTGATGGAAGAACTGACGTCTATCCGGAGAGATAATTATAAAAAATACGAATCCACCTGGCAACCATGGATTGCCTTTATATGATCACCCGGAAACCTACAAGACATGGGAGAGAACAGTCTACATGAAGAAAATATACCACCAGGATAAGAAATGACGAAGGGGTAATTGAACTGTTTAGATGTACCTCGATGTAGAACGATTATACAGTATGTTAAAGTAATGTTTAGTCTTTTTGTTTGTACTGAAATAATAAAAATTGAATATGAAAAAAAAAAAGAAATCCTCTGTACTGTTGCAAGTAGGTCAGTTGATCCAGTCGCATCTGTTATACCTTTCAGGCGAATAGTATGTCTTAACATTAAACAACATGACTAAGGTAGTTCAGAGGTCCCCATTACCCACCCCTTATACACCCCCCAAATCCGCTCCCTGCTCTATCAATAATACCCACTCACCAGGGGTGGAGTTCAAATTGCCACAGCAGCCTTCTATTAACAAAACCAGTATAAATAACATAATTATAAATAACAAACAATAACCAGACCGTATGAAATATCGGCTTTCAGGTCCTTGAAGGCACTATGAACCGTAAACATAAACCTTGCACCTGCAGCCACATCTTTTACATGATGCCCCCAGCCGCAAGACGCGGCCTTGGGGACGATGTTAATTGACCACAGACCCCTACTGGTCCCTACTACCCAGCCGCAACCGGTAGACCTCACTACATGGAGAACACTCATACCGAAGATGGGTTTCCCATTAATTTATCAATAGCCCCCCGCTTATAAACATCTTGAAGGCAATAAGTGACTCTCCCCTACCTTACTTTATCTAACTTTTTTAACACATCTTAGCCTGGTTCCCTTTCACACCTTTGTCATGTAGGCTTCCCGCTCATTCTTTTCTCTCCTGGCTCCAAGTCTATCTATTTTGCAAATGTTCCAAAGTGTTAGCACTACTATGCCGCCATGTTGTACTTGTGATTTACCATCAATTGTTTTTGAGGTAGATTATGAATTTGGCCGACACTTTTCTCCTGCTCACATCGGGTGCCTACCAAACTTTCCATTTACCCTTCTACCCCCTATAAATCCAACTAAGATCTATTCCCAGGTGCCTGTATTAAGCATTCCCTGTGTTTAGGCTCAAAGTTATAATCTAACTGGTATTTGGTAAGTACAAAAAGATGATTTAATCTCCCACCACTTCTTTCTTTGATGTATAAAGTACCTTCTTCTCAGTATGCCTGCTCCTAAAAAGTTACATCAAAACCGCATCTCTGCCTCTCAAATTGTATGTCCAGGCGTTACTCAAGTTAACCCCCCCAAACTTCCTCCTCCCCAATATTTTTTTTTTCCTTTTACCTTGATTTGTAGCGAGAAACAACTTTTATTATTACTTCATATGACATCATCATCAGAAATAAAATTCTTGCAAGAGCAGCTGCTGGGAGGTCAGTTCCTATTGTTGTGGACATGCCCCCAGAACTACATCTTCAAAGAGCCTTTTCCCTATACATAGGCAGGCACTTGACAGTTAGGGCCAGCAGCATTGTTTTGCAAGTAAATAAGTCAATGTATACATGTGGAGAGGGGCAGAGAGGGACAGGGGATGGGTGGAGTTCTGTAGCCCGGGAGGCAGAACGGACAACACTGCTCTGGATTGTCATGCAACAAATGTAGTGTGCTGGCAGGTCACACAGGAAGTTAGGAGTACACTAGATTTTTAGCAAATCAACAGATATTTTTCTGTACTTGCAGCATTTTTAAAGAGCTAAAACTAAGGACAATGTGCAGGTGTTACAAAGATTTTATTTTGCTCAGACACTTTATAAGAATAAAACAAAGGATGTATTCTAAATGTAAAGATAGCAGAGGTGTGGAGACAAGCAACTTCCTTTATATCCAGAGCAAATGCTGCTTTATCCCCATTAAACCCTTAAATCATACACAACCATGTTCTTGACTTTTAGTCCAAAAAGATTCTTATCACCTAATCACCGGTAACTGTTAAAACATCAATCTGATATATGATAGAATATATAAATACATATAGTTTACACATAAAGTTATAACACAGGGTTGAGCCATCAGAGGGTCCCAAGGCGGGACAACATATCACAGTTACTGCTTGTAACCAAGAATACTTAACATTCTCAAGGCAAGCATTTTATTTTACTAAAAATTGTTATTTATCTATTTACAACATTACCTTTTATAGCAATAAGTATTTTATATTTTTACCGAAAGGTTTTTTTGTGGGCTACAGTCGCCTTCACATTCAGCTCCGGTCTCATCAGAATGATGTAACATTTGGGAAGGAAGATGCAGCCCAGGAGTCCAGCACCGGAGGACAAGATGGCGAAGACCTCCACAGCCACCATGTATTTCCCTTTGGTGCTGAGGTAGGCTGGGATGAAGGAGATCCAAACACTGCAGAAGACCAGTATGCTGAATGTGATGTACTGAGCTTCATTGAACGTGTCTGGAAGTTTCCTGGCTAAAAATGCTACAATAAAGCTGAAAACGGCCAGACATCCCATGTAGCCAATCACAATGTAGAAAGCAGTGACAGAGCCCTCGTTGCACTGTAATATCATCTTCCCCACCTCTACTTGGGCGTCATACTCTGGGAATGGTGGGGAAAAGACAAACCATAAGACACAGATCACAAGCTGCCCAGAAGAGCAGATAATCAGGAGGAAAACAGAGAATTGTTTCATCATACACTTGTTAATACTGTTAGGTCTGGTGACATTAAAAGCCAGAACAACAGTAATTGTTTTAGCCAGAACCGAAGAAACTGCAACAGAGAAAACTGTCCCAAAAACAGCTTGTCGGAGAAGACAGGAGATCTTTGTGGGACGTCCGATGAAGAGCAGAGGACAAAGAAAGGACAGAATCAGTGAGATGAGAAGGATGAAGCTGAGGGTCCGGTTATTGGCTTTTACTATTGGAGTGTCTTTGTGTTTCACAAATATCCCAAACATGATAATAGTTCCAAAACAGAATAATAGAGCCATAAACATAAGAGAAGTTCCCAATGTATCTCCATAAGACAGGAATTCAATTGTTCTTTGTATACAGGTGTCTCTTCTCTCATTGGGCCATTGATTATCCGGACACTTATAACACCTTTCCATGTCTGAAAGAGAAAACAAAAATCCTTTGTTAAAAGAAGGTCCAGCAGGAAATGTGACCATTATTGGTAAAATCTCAAAGGCACAATGACTAATTAGAGAAGAACCCAAGTCTTATAATGTGATTTTTATATCATTTCCCTGCAGCCAGGATCAGTAAATGATTTATTGCCTCATGTGATTGATAGAAAAGTAGATGAAACACAATTTAGGACAATGGGATTTGTGTGACTCCCACCCATGATTTGGTGTTCTGGGGACTTCCCAGTTTGTCTGCAACTTTAATGTAAAAAAAAACAACCAATTATACAGGCTGAGATTGTATCAGGTAGTGGTGACCTGCGGTGGATCCTCATGCATCCTTGTCTTCCAAACCTGGTGTGTGTCTTCTTGTCTTTTTCCACAGCCAGTTAGACTGATTGATTTATCATTTTACAACATTTCCATAGCAAAGATTGTAGGAGCATGACTGTTGGCATCTATTTTGCACCAGAGCTGAATGCTTTCTTGCAATATTTCTCACGGCCATCACTGGTTACAATCATAGCATATTGGGGGTTGCTGTCCCCCAGTCCTAGTTCCACACTATTATCATTGGTATTCATCACTCTCCCATAGGGGGAATCTGACACTTGCCAATGTTTGTTACTAAATGTAAGTTCCTGACTAACAGGAAGCCCCTAATGGGTATCCCAAGACAAACAGGCAGCTATTGCACTCCTGTAGTGTTCTCTCAGCAATCCGCCTTTTAGCCCAGCAGCTGGGAGAGAGATCCCTGAACACCAGTCATCTCACAAAGGCCTGTAGACAGCTGAGACTGATTAAAGTGGACCTTTTCCAATAAATTAATTTACGATATACTTCCTATATAAGATGGTCACAAGCTCAGCAGATACTGCCTTGTCCCTTTCTCCTCTGCCGCTCTTCTTATGCACATATTGTCCCACGCCGCCATCTTTGTTTTGTTCATCTTCCGGAGCCGGGCAGTTTCTTCCAGCTTCTTGCAACCAGCCCCCCGACGATGAGCCTTCAGGTCCTTCTTCGAGAGCTGTGTGATGTCTCAGCTGAAACCCCCCCCCCAGAGATATGTGATGTCAGTGTCCCAGGAGGCTGTAGGAGGAGGCTTCATGTCGTATAGAAACGTTTTTTTTTTATTAAAAGGTGCACTTTGTATATTGGGGGCGGGGGGGGGGGGCGTATTGGAATGGTGGAAAGTGGAATTCTACTTTATTGAGGTCTGGCTACCAAGTAAGATGTGTGCCTAGGAATGGAGGCAAATCCCTCCCAAAGCTCTGCAAAGCCTCTGGGCTTCAGAACCCAGAACAGGATTCTGAAAAAACAAAAAGTTTGTTTTCTCCATAAGCATAAAGAGGAGATAATTGAAAAACACATTAAATAAATAACTTAGTTTTCTGTAGGTGATGTCATATGCAGATCAAGGCATGCAATAAATAGTAAATACAATAAACCAATTCATTGTATTTACACAATGACACTTCCAGACTATCTGCAAGTGTCATTATACACAGGAGCGGCTGCATATTTATAGTACAGAGCTGTCACTGGGTGCCATTTTGATTGCTGGTAACAGCAGTGGGGGAGGATAGGAGCTGTAGAAAAGACATGTGTTCTAAAAACTTTGTTTATTTGGAATATATCTCTTATGTTCAAAATCCAATCAAAGTGATTAATGAGGAAGTATAAGGAAACCATAGTATTGGAGGTACCAACCATATTTATCGGTGATCTCATTCTCCGGGCAGGGCACACAGTGGTGACAGCACGGTTGTCCTCCTTTATGTTGAAGTTTTTGGTATCCGGGGAGGCAGCTCTCGGAGCACAGAGAACGTGGAGTCTGAAGACAAAATCCAGTTTTAAAATTAATATATTACACTTTAGTTAGTGCTCTGTTGATTTTTTAGTGATAATGATTCCTAATATGTACCAACTTCTCCCATGTCCCAATAGTCGGGTTAAACTTCCACAGAACTGACCTGCTGGGTTTTTACCACCTATAGAAGTCCCTACACCGATTGCCTGAGCATTAGGTTTATTCATCCCCGCATAGCTACCTCCTCATGTATCACTTGCCCCTCCCTTTTAGATTGTAAGCCCTCACGGGCAGGGCCCTCCTTACCATCTTGTCTTGAATTGTATTGTGATTGTAATGTCTTCCTTATATTGCAAAGCACTGTGCAAACTATTGGCGCTCTATAAATCCTGTATAATAATGATAATAATGTGTTTGTGCAAATATTCTTTTTTATCATTAATAATAATAATAAAACTATATGAAAACCAAAAAAACAGAGAACCCTGAAATGGGGATGGATGGACAGCCCGTGGTTATAGGATTGTATACTTAGTTTTGCTGCTGCCTGCTCTTTTTTCTTGCCTTTGGACCTTCCACCTCCCTTTTCTGCTGCTTACCCTTCTCCCTGCATTATGGAAGGTTGGGCAGGATGTGATCTTAGGTATTCCCCTGCAGCTATGCCTCCACTGTGTATCCTTGCATCATCCAAAAGTATGGCAGACCACAAACTTAAAGTGGTGAATGTTGGGCTACCTCTGGATGGTGGCAGTAGATCCCTTAGATTTTTCCCTGTATTAGGGATTGGAGAACTGCCCCACCCTTGAAGCTTCACACTAATTTCCTCCTCCTCACTGCCAGCACCACTAACGTTCCTTCTCCTCATCCCAGCACCCCAACACTCCTCCTCACAATCAGAACCCCCAACCCTCCTCTACACCACCTGCACCTTAGCGCTCTAGGAATTAAATGTATGTACACAAGCACTAGAAGTCTGGCAAATAAATTAGAAGAGCTTGAGCTTATGATACTCGAAGAGGACTTCGATATCATGGGAATAGCGGAAACCTGGCTAGACAGCGCACATGATTGGGCCACCAAATCACCATCACCAGCACCATGACCCTCCTGCTCACAACCTGCACCCCAACGCCCCTCCTCCTCCTCATATTCCTCCTTTGCCCTCTGACATGCCACATGCTGGTGGAGGGCAGGGATGGCATTCTGTGCAAAGTATTAGGTCTGTTGGCCAACCCTGAGGATAGCAACCAAAAAATTATGCCAACTCCTCATAGTCAGAGATATGGGGGGGATATGCTGAAAAGGAGGAGGAAGAAAAGGATATATGGCAGTATAGGAAGAGATATAGAAGGTGCACTGTTCTGACATTTTATGGTCCACAGAAGATGAGGCAGTGTCTGCTTAAAAAAAAAAGCTTACAATCTATACTATAAAACCGATGGCCCACTGGGCAATTTGTACAAGTTTGAGGACTTCACCTTTATTTATTTTTTATTCAAAAGTTTTTATTGGTTTTTTTTTCCATTAAGACATATACAATGACCATCTACATAC